TATGGTTACGAAGGAAAATTATCATATAAAACAGTCTAAAACCGTCACTCAAGATACAAACAACGCCTGTTTAAGAAAATTTAGGAATAAACCTTCCTTTTGAGCGCGAGTTACGAAAGTAAACCAAGTTAATTTATCTCAAAGTTTTCCCTCAAGAGATTTACCAGTTCAGCTAACGATATAAAAAGGCTTCTGATTTGGGTCAATTTTTAGATGAATGACGTCATCTTTATTGCTATCTCTGATGACGGAGAGATACATTACAATTTTTGGCCTAAACAATTTTAGATCTTCATTTTCCTTCAATGAGTTATCTTCATTCTTTGCCACATGCTTTACGGAAACACTGCTGCTTGTGTCTTATTTTTATCAAATTACGATGGCCCAAGAACAAAAGAAATTGCCTTACCTTTTGAAATGGTAAAAACTCAAGATGTTTCACACAGTTTTGGCAATATTCTCTAAATAGGCTATTTAATATGAACCGTATATGGCTAAGATTCTGCCATTTTCCAAAACCCGACAAATCTTACTCGAAAGATCTCATTTTTCTTACTCCCGAAACATTGCGTCATTAATTAGCACTTCGCCAAGATCGTTATCTGAGCACGCGTAATCTTTCAAAATTGTCGTCTTTTCGTAAAGTTTCCTTATGGATATAACTGCTGGAAACCCTAGAGTCCATCATTTAAAAACTGTATTTTTTAAACTAACATTATACTTCTTTCTAGGTAACATCGCGTGATCGTATCGCACCACCGAATGTTCTACTTATGACGTTTTTAATGCTCGCGCTATGTTCACGTCCAGGTCTCGCACGATCAAAAACCCTATCAAAACTGTAATTTTGTTCTTCAAACAGATATAGACGAATGCAACTCTGGGTCATTTTCTTGCCATGAAAAAGCACAGTGTGTAAATATTCCTGGTTCTTACTCTTGTAAATGTTCAGCGGGATACACAGGCGATGGAAAAATAAACTGTACATGTAAGTAACAACTTTAGATTTGGTCTCCATCCTTCTCTCGGATACTGATCAAACAAAATACACCCGACCTCAACTCCCACCAACCCGAGCTTTAACGGGATGTGAAAAACGGATTAGAGTTATGCGGGGCGCTCTAGATCTTTGAAGTTGAGGAGAAAGTGCTGAAAGGGAGACAAACTTTACTGAACTGCATTTGTATGTTGTGCCCTTTTATTCAAATTAATTGTTTCAAAATGTCTAAAACTAGACTCAGCAGCTAAGGACTGTGGTGAGCTGCACAAATCTGGTAGAACAACCAGCGGCGTTTATACAATCGACCCTGATGGTTCTGGTGCCTTTGATGTATATTGTGACCAGACAACAGCCGGTGGGGGGTGGACAGTGTTCCAAAAGAGACTGGATGGTTCGGTTAATTTCTACCGCGGCTGGACCGATTACAAGAATGGCTTTGGTAACTTAAATGGAGAATTTTGGCTGGGACTGGAAAAGATACACCGTTTGACAACAACGAAGAAAAGGCTCCGAGTAGATCTGATGGACACCACTGGATACACTGCTTACGCCGAGTACGAAATGTTTGCAGTTACCAGCGCGAGGACAAAGTACAAGCTTAGCCTTGGCAGTTATTCAGGTGAGTGAACGAGGTTTGTCATCCTTGTTGATACAAGAATTTGTACTTTATAGTGGACCTCTGCATGTGATGTTGATATTGGTTCTCATTAATTACGGTTTAAAACATGGTAGAAATCTTAAATTGGTCTTTTTTACAAATATGCGTATTATTTATCAGGTGGGAAGTCCGTAATGAAAAACATTGTACCAGAGGCATTTAGTTTAATTCATGGTTGTAGTGTTCTTAGAAATGATGAAATTGGATAATTGAACGAGATAAAAACACGATTCCGCGCTTTGCAGCGCCAACTCACGCACAACCCTTTACGTCTTATTTCTGTGATGTTACAGTATAATTGATTAAGCTGAAATTGCATTTACCCGTGCAACACAGTCATTATCAAAATATGTTTAGACTTCTTGGGTTTTACTTCAGGAACTGCTGGTGATTCACTTTCTCTTCACCGTGGCTATTTCTTTTCAACCAAAGATCAGGACAATGACAACTGGAGTGGTCATTGTGCTGTGACTTTTAAAGGAGCCTGGTGGTACGAGGACTGTCATCACTCTAACTTGAATGGACTTTATCACCGTGGGAAGCACTCATCCTATGCCGATGGAGTCAATTGGCGTCACTGGAGAGGACACTACTACTCCGTCAAGAGAGCTGAGATGAAAATTAGACCAGTTTCATTTTAGAGCTTCCTTTTTTGTTCCCATTTCAACATTTTTTATCCTAATTTTTAAAGGCTACTAGAAGAAACAGGATTAGGTTAGATATGGATTAACAAAATTTAGTAAGACAGAGTTATCCTACCTATGAAAACGATTCTGTATATATTATGCAGCAAACAAAAACGAGAATGATCCCGTCATATTTGTCCAGGATTGCGCAAAGATACTTCAACTCGTTCAAAAGGAAATTACCAAAATCGATTCGTTTGAAAGAACGCTCTCGATAGTAATGCAAAGGTGCTGTTATCAGGTAACATGATGTATGAAAGTGTGAGTGTGTCCTGACTGAGCCATTAGCTGAATCAGAACACAACAATGGGGATTAGAAAACCTGCCCAAAGGCGTTTACAAAGAGTTGTGTGGTTGATAAACAGGGTCGACTGTAGTTTCAGTATTCTTGTCTTTCAACCTGGTAATTGCTTACAATCACCGAGAAGTTTTCAATTTAATCTTTTAGAGGTTACCCACTATTCTTTCATCTGCTTAGAAAACAAGGACTTTTACTTTGAGCAGTAAAAACGAACCGAATGATTAATATACTCCGTGATATTGTAACTTTAAAAAAAATTTCCACAAGTTTGATTTCACATTCAATTCGCTGCAAAAGAGAGAAATTAGTTAAGAACTGTTTAAGGTTTATGCTTGCTTGTTAAATATTCTGCATGAACAAGAAAACCCAACGAGTTCCGGTAACTTTATTAAGTACTCTAGTCATATCCACACAGTCCATGGCCTTTCAGATCGGTTCTTTAAACAAAAGAATACACACATTTATTTGATATTAAGAATAAAAGACAGATCTAAGTTTCTAATAGATACAGAGACTACAGAGAGTCGTTCAGCTGAATTGATCCACTTCGATAAAATAAAATGAGCCTAAACTCGAAATGACGACTCTGCCTGAGGCAAAGTTTGAACTAAAGAGCAGACTCACTCATTCATTTGATCTGATTTTTAAAAGGTCTGACTTTCTTTAGAGTGAAAAATCTGAGTAAGCGTTAGCTGGCCGGGTAATTTTAGAATTTTTTGTTCTTCATTCCTTTGTCAAGACAATAAAGGCGAATAAACGAACGGAGTGGAGTCATTAATTGATGGGGCTCAGAACAACTGATTAGAAAAACTCAGAGAGTATATTTAAATATCTGCCTTACGAAGTTTAGCAGATATTTGTTTTCTGCACGTTCTGTATGGAGTGTGGTCCTCGCTAAGTACGCGTACTGGTATGTCTCTTGTGTGTAGGTATTTGCATAATGGTATGTAAGTCTGAGGTTAATTAGTATTCATCCTTCGGGTTGTGAATGGCATCGCATACAGAACTTTTTTCAGTTCATCGACCAGAGTAGCTGACCTGCACTTGGGTATACGATTCGCCGTACTATTTGGGCAAAGGATTTGAGAGTATAAAACTTTAATTGCTGACTGTGCTAAGTGCCTGCCGAGAGGGAACGCCAGTCTTTTTTCTTTTTTCTTTATTTTTGGTTTGGATCACCCATCTGGTCCTTGGCCTTTTTCGGTGAGTCCGAGCTTGGTTGTGGCCCATACAGGTTTTCGGCTTTGCTGAGCTTGGTGGGTTTTTTTTCCTTTTTTGCCTTTTGAGGCAGGCTTTTTGAGCCCTTTTTTCCTTTTCTTGAGTGATGGTTTTGGTTTGCGCCAGAACATGTGTTGTGCATGCCACAGCGGCAGTTACAGTCAACTCTAGACCGGATGTTCTTAAAATGCTTGAGAAAGTAGTTGATTTCAGTAAATTGTAGGCCGTTCAATTTGTTCCCAGAGGCCTCATTCGCCTGACGTTTAAGGATCCGGATGATAATGCCAGTCTGTTAGAGCGCGGTATACTTAAACTTAATGGTGAGGAGTGTAGCGTTACAAACTCTGATCGTCCTCATACTCTTGTTTACATTCATCATTACCCTGCCGAAGGGGATGATGAAATTTTATTTGACGACTTTAAACATTTCGGTAAAGTTGTCTTCTGTAAGCGTCAGACTTCTATGGGGAGACCTGATCTCCTTACGGGCTCGCGCATCCTCACGATGTCGCTTGAAAAACCCATACCGGCGGAGATTACAATCGATGGATATCCTGTGCGTACATCTTATCGCGGTATAAAACCTTTCTGTTCAATTTGCAAAACCATGGGTCATAAGGCTGCTGATTGTGCTTTTAACGGGAAATGCATGAGATGTGGGGAAGCCGGTCATTGGGCTCGTAATTGCCCTTCACGTCGAAGTGATAATGTCTGGGGCCCTACGCTCCCAGGAGCTAGCGTTGTCCCCCCGGCTGCTGATTTCCCGCCAATCTCTGCTGGAAACGCGGCTAACGTGCTGGTCAACGGTCCCATTCCGTCAAATTCGGTTGATCCTGTTGTTATCACTGTTCGTAGCGAAGTTATTAACGTATCTATRAGTYATCAATCTGGGGCCTCAGAACTTAATTGTAATTCTGGCCAAAATACCAGCCAATCAATTAATGTTAACAATAGTGTCGTAGAAAATAGTAGTAATTCTGGTCAAAGTACCAGACAGTAGTTAATGTCAATGATAACAATAGTAATACTGGTCAAAGCACCAGTCAAGTACTTAACAAAAGTAGTAGTAAGTCTGGTACCAGTCATGTAACTAAGGTAAATAATTTTAATTCTGGTCAAAGCACCAGTCAAGTACTTAATAGTAGTAGTAAGTCTGGTCAAAGCACCAGTCATCTAATTAAGGAAAATAATAGTCAAAGCACCACTAAAGTATTAAATGCTAGCAATTGTTCTGTTGTTGGTGACATCGATGAGGATATTACCGAATTTTCTTCTCAAGACTCTACCCCTGTCCAGGGCTCGGAGTCCCCTGTTATCTCGGAGTTTTCCTCTCCTCTCACGCGAAGTGTGTCCTTTGACAACTTTGAAACCGTCACCAGAAAGCGCCCCGCTAAGAAACGTGTGATGCTCCCATCCAATGCTCAATTGTCGAGCACGATCTCTAAGCGGCCGAAGACTGTTCCCAATCTTCCCAATAAGAAGGGGAAACCCCAGCCCTGGCTTTCATGAGGGACATTTATTTTTTCCTCATGACTTTGTCTGTACTTAGTTTAAATGCTAACGGGCTAACGGTATCAGAGACCGGTCCAAGCGAGATGGCCTTGTGCAGTGGTTGCGGAACTTATCTGTGAGTGTGGACCTGGTCTGCCTCCAGGAAACACATTGTATGTCCGCAAATGAGTGTCGCTCTTGGTTTCTCTCTTCTGGGTTTAACTCTGTACTATCTCCAGGCTCTACTTATTCTTTCGGGTGTGTGATTCTTTACAGCCCCACGTTGTCTTTATCTAACTCTTGGTCCGATTCTGACGGCCGTTTTCTTGAGTGTGAATTCTCCTTTCGTAACCAATCTTTCCGTGTCTGTTGTTTGTATGATCCGAATCACAACCCTGCACGAGACCAGTTTCTAGACGGGGTCCACCCTAAAGTGGACCCCTCCATTCCTACACTATTGTGTGGTGACTTTAACACTGTCTTTGACCGTAGCCTGGACAGACGTGGCTCGGCCCCCACCGATTCGTCGCGGGAAAGTACTACATCACTCCGCGGCCTTTTTGACGCATGTTGCGTTCTTGATATCTACCGGTATCTGCACCCCACATCTCCCGGTTTTACTTGGACTAAGTGGAATGGCGCTCTTGCGTCCCGGATTGACCTAGTCAGTGTTCCTTTCCTTTGGATAACATCGGTAAATTCATGCTCTGTTGTTCCGTGCCCTTTCTCGGACCACTGTGGTGTTCTCACCTCCGTGTCTGTCCCAGACCTGTTCCACCAGGTCCTGAGCTTTGGAAACTAAACACTGCCATCCTCAAAGAAAGTGAATATGTCCATCTGGTGACCGACTTTTGGCGCACTTGGCAAGACTCCAAAACTGTCTTCATTTCACTCAGTAAATGGTGGGAGGAGGGCAAAAGCCGCTTCAAAGGTCTGACAATTAATTATTGTAAATCAAGGTCTTCTACGAAAAAACGCAACAGAGACACTCTCGTCAATCTCATTGCCCACCTGAAAGCCTACCAGTCAGCCCTCTCCACCCTTGCAGCCCTCGATCGTGAAACTGCCCGTGGTGTCCAGGTAAGGTCCCGGATCAGATGGGTTAAAGAAGGTGAAACATCATCGTCATACTTCTTTCGCTTAGAGAGGAAACGTTCAGTGGATCGCTGGATACCCGCCTTGCGGGAAAGCGGAGGTTCTATTGTCTCATCCACTGAGGACTTATGCCTTACGCTAAACTGCTTCTATTCTGATCTGTTCTCGGCCACTCCCTCTGATCGTCACGCCCAGTCCTCTCTCCTGTCTAATCTCTCGTTCTCACTACCTCCTGATCAAGCTGAGACATGTGAGGGCCCTCTAACCACGGAAGAGTGTCTCTCTGCAATTAAAGGCATGGCAAAAAATAAGGCCCCTGGCCTTGATGGTTTCCTGGCCGAGTTCTACCTCAGGTTCTGGGGTGTTCTCGGTCGAGACCTTGTAAATGTCCTAAATCACTGTTTCCTCTCTGGGTCCGTCGCTCTCTCGCAACGTCGTGGCATTATCACCCTAACATTCAAGAAGGGAGACCGCCTTGATCCCCGTAACTGGCGCCCAATCACTCTGTTAAACGTGGACCACGAGATTGCATCCCGAGCTATCGCTGGCCGACTCTTGAAAATGATCCATCTCGTAGTCAACAAAGATCAAACCTGTGGTGTACCTGGCAGGTACATCGGGGAAAATGTCTCCTTAGTTCGTGATGTGGTTCACTACACTATGTCCACGGGATTTCCTACAGCAATCTTGTCACTGGATCAAGAAAAGGCCTTTGACAGGATAGATTGGGGATTTATGAAGGCTACCCTCTCTGCCACGGGCTTTGGCCCCTCTTTCATCGCGTGGGTGAGTCTTTTCTATCATCGTGTACAGAGTTCTGTAAACGTCAATGGGTATCTCTCTCCCTTTTTCTATCTGTCGCGGGGTGTCCGACAAGGTTGCCCCCCGTCCCCCCTCCTCTATGTCCTCGCATCGGAAGTCCTGGCTGCCAGTATTCGCGCTAATCAGAGAATCTCTGGCCTGTTCATTCCTGGTTTTCCACCATTATCTCCGATATCTCAGTATGCGGATGACACGTCACTCATCTTGACGTCGGAGGACTCTATAAAAGCCTGCTTTGAAGTCTACACTCTATTTGAAGCTACCTCCGGTGCTAAACTGAACCAAGCGAGGTCCAAAGGTCTCTGGTTGGGTCAGTGGGTTGGCCGGACTGACCCCCCAGTCGCCCTGGACTGGTCGCTAACAAAGCTAAAGATCTTGGGAGTTTTTGTTGGTACCGGGGATTTAGAGGAGGAAATTTGGCGCTCTCGCATAGAGGCTGTTGATCATGTTCTCAAATCCTGGCGTAGTCGTTCCCTGTCCCTCCGCGGCAAGGCCTTAGTCATCAATGCCCTTACCCTCGCTCAGGTGTGGTACGTGGCGTCACTCGTCCACATGCCTGCTTGGGTGCGGAAGGAACTTTTCCGTCTTGTATTCTCCTTCTTCTGGTCTGGTAAACGGAAACTCATGGCCCGCACTACCGTGACCCAGTCCCCCCTTTTCGGAGGCTTTTCTGTTGTGGATGTTTCAGTTAAAGTATGGGCTCTGCTCGGCCAGTGGGTGAGAAGGTTTGTCTCCTCCACATCTGACTGGTGCACCATGTTGTCTTTCTACTGTCATTCTCATTTTGGTGTCACTCCCCATGTTGTTTTTTCCCGCCCTTTTTCCTTGGATCCCCGTTTTTTACCGCCCTTTTACCAGTCCCTTATTCTTGCTTGGCGCGGGGTCAATGGCTCTTTCTCCACGTGCCAAACCCGTCTCATATTTGGTTCTTCCTGTCCACTTGTCTGCACTCCTGCCTCTGATATGTCTACAAAGTCCTGCTATTCTTATCTCTTATCTGAGAACATGGTTTAACCACACTGTATAGAGAAATTCAACCTTGTTTATCCATCTCTGGATTGGCCTGCCACGTGGCGCTCTCTGTCACTATTCGACCTCGACCGTCCTGTGATAGTCCTCAACTGGAAGATTGCTC